AGGATAGAGGGAGGGAGGTAAGGAAGGGACTAAGGGGGGGGGGGGGGGGCGGCTGAGGGACGGAGCGAGTGAGTGAGTGAGTATCTAGGCCAGCCCAAGTAAGTAAGACTGCGGATTGGGAATGGAATCGAGCAGCACGTAAGCCAGCCAGCGTTATGTATAGTTGGTAAGTACCCTTGCAGGATTTGATTTATAATGGAATCGATGAAAACCAAGTAAGTAAGCCGGCGTCATGTTATGCACTATGCACCCTTCAAAGAGGTATGGAGATGGGAGGTAGCGTGGATGATACCTACAGTATTTCAAAGGGGTATGGAGCATCCGCGCTGAAACATAAGTCTTACTACATGTCATGTTACCGGACTGGATTATATGCTTGTAAGTAAGGAGTACTACGAGTCAAGCGGTGTTGGGGAGGTAAGTCCATATATGGTAAGCTACGGATAGATAGAAGGATGGATCGATGGATCGATGGCCGGATATTCTGTAGGGAGGGCGGGACCGGCTGCGGTTGGGGGCGGTAATGGGTCAATTTGTCTGGTGCCTGGCTTCTGGTGCGGACCGTGTCAGCGGTGGTCCGTTCAGGGGCGGGCTCACACCACGGCTGGTCTGTTTCGATAGGTAGACAACTGAGCCCTCCCCACCACGGGGGCTTGGATTGGCAGCATTGGTGACGGAAGCGCTGAGGTTCTGCCCCTGTCGACCGGGATCAGTGTCAGGACCAGTTTCATGATCAGTGCCCGTACAGGATACAGAATACAGAATATAGGAACGATACGAGTAGTATCCGTGTATCCATCCGTACACAGAGTTGCAACAAAAGTGTCAGCCTCGCATCCGGCTGCCGTTGCCTCCGCAGCACGCATCCTCCGGACGAGTCCAAAATAGGAAACAGGAACTAGTGAAGCGTGATTCTCTCCACTACCCACCCCACTACCGATTGTATTCTGTATGTCGCTCATCCTCATCCTCATCCTCACTCCTCACTCCTCACAGGGACATCCCAGTAAAGAGACACCAACGGGGCGCTGAGAGGGCCAGCTGAACCCGAACCCGAACCCGAACCAGGAACCTTCCTCTTCAGGTGGCTGGCTGGTGCGGCAGAGCTTGGACCACGCTCACGTCCAACTGATTGCAGAAGCTCCAGTACGGACAGGGCAGTGGAGATGGGAATGGAATGGGAATGGGAAAGAGAGCCCCTTGCGTCCTGTCAGTGAGAAACTGGACCAGTACTTCTCGGTACTCCATATCTTTGGGGCTAAGGCTAGGGTGTTACAGAGTGATGAGTATGGAGTACCCAGTCTGTGATGATACGGTACCATACTATGCCGACGCCTCGATGCCTGGAGACCTGACTGTGTTGGTGCCTGTTCCAGTGCCGGTGCCTGTGCCGTGTCTACATACGTGACTCACCTTCTAACAAAACTGGCCGTGACCTGGACCGACCAGGAGTTGTGGTAGGGCTTGATTTAGTTTGCACAGCACGGCGATATCCATAGATCGATCGATGAATGGTCGTTGAGGATCGGACTCGCTACAAAACCGGTGTGGTCACTGGACAGGCGACGTGACAGGCACTGGACTGGAATCATTGGAAGCTGGAAGCTGGAAGCTGGAAGCTGGAAGAGGAGTCTGAGGGTCCGTTCAGGAGACAGCGGCCCTTCCTCTGACCAGTGGGGAGTGGGTTCCCGGCAGGCGAAGGTCAAGGCGAAGCCGAGAGCGACAGCGAGGGGAAAGCGAAAGCTAAAGTGAAAGCTTCTTCATCTCGCCTCCATCCATGCGCGATACTCGATGCTTGATGCTCGATGCTCGAGGCCCCATTCCCCATGCCGCGGTGGAGTGCCCGCCGTCCCTGGTCCTCCGTCCCAAAGAGGCAGCCGCTCAACTATCAGAGTTCAGGATCATCGTCCATCTGGCCCAAATCGACAAGTTCGGAAGCTGTGAACCAAGTTCGGATGTCGAATGTCGCCTGTTCGATTTCCTCTTTCTTACCTAGTGACTCTGCTGAAACCACACTACACCTTCCCAACGACGTGGATGGACCAGTGTCTTCTTCATGCAACACACCAACACACCTCTCTCTTCAGACTATTGAAAACTCGCAGCAAGACACAACTGCATGCGGCTGGATGCAGCTGGTCACGGCTCAGATGACGGCTGGGCATTCAAGCCACCGACATACACAGACACCATCACGACACCGTCACCAACACAGACGCAAACAAGACATCCTTTGTATCGACAAGAAACGGGACGGAGAGGCTGAGGTCGAGGTCGAGGTTGAGGTTGAAAAGGCTGGCCATTTTCCCTCAATGGTTGCTTGAATCTCAACGTCCAGCCTGGGATAGTCGCTCACATTCACATTCATCTTCATCTTCACGTTCACGTTCACGTTCACGTTCACATTAACATTCACATTCACCTTCCCTTTCCACCTCAACTCCTTCTCGTCACCATGACCATGCCGGACCCTATGCATGGTATGCCGCCGTTGTATCGCCGTCCTGACGGTCACAAGGCGGGGGTGCTGGGAACCGACAACCTGATATCTCCCGAGTGCATTGACGGTCTTGACGGCACTCATATTACCAGTTCGACATTCAGTCAGGTCAGTTGGGACCCCAGCCTCGGGCACGGCGGCACCATCTACTACGACTCCAAAACCAAAGACAAACAAGGCAACCGCTCTTCCCCGAAAGTCGCCAAAGGTAGCCCCGTTGGTCAAGACTGCGTAGTCGGCCAAGACGGCACACTTGGTCAAAACTGCGGCCCCTACCCAACGTACATTCAGTCGGTCCAAGGTCAAGACGGTACCCTCCATCAAGGAAACATCTTCGGTCAAGACAATACCTTCAATCAAGGGAACACCTTTGGTCAAGATGCCTTTGGCCAAGGGGTTATCTTCAGTCAAGGGGCCACAGTTGGTCAAGACGGTACCTTCAATCAAGAGAACACCCTCACCGGTCAAAACAATCCATTGGGCCCAAGTCTTCTATATCCAGGGTGTCCTAAGGGTATTTGGACATTTGGCCCTGACTATCCCCCCTGGGAAGACGACAGTCTCAGCAAAGAGAAAGGAAAAGAGAAAGAGAGAAGCCCCTCTTTCGACAGCACCCTCAGTCAGGGGAGTACACTCTGGTCAGGGTCAGGAACCGACAGTACCAGCACACTGAGCCAAGCCAGCACCATCTATCCCATCGGCATGCTAGGTCAAGGTCAAGCTCAAGGGCAAGGACAGGGTCAAGATACCAGCACCCTCTATCCCATTGGCATGCTAGGTCAAGGTCAAGGTCAAGATACTACCCTCTGGCTGAACTCCAGGTTGTATCTAGATACGATCCTTGATGGCAGCAGCACCGTCACCAACGGTCAAGAGAGCAGCATCCTCGGCCAATATTATGCCTTGTATCAGAATCAGAACATGGCCCTCGGCCAAGACAGCACCTTTGGCCAAGGCAGCGGCAGTGGCAGCGGCAGTGGCAGTGCCAGCACCAGCACCAACACCAACACCAACACCAGCATCCTTTATCAAGACGCAGCCACTGCGCTCGGTCAACACAACAAGCTCCATCAAGACAATAGCTTCAATTTCGATCAGACCAGCACCTTCGATCAAGTTAACACGCTCAGTCAAGCCAACACCTTCGATCAAGGTAGCATGCTTGGTCAACACAACACCTTCAATCAAGGTAGCACCTTCGGTCAAGACCACCCCTTCAGTCAAGGTAATGCTCTCGGTCAAACCAGCACCTTCGATCAAGGCAATACGCTCGGTCAAACCAACACCTTCAATCAAGGTAATACCCTCCTCTCTCAAGACAACCAGGTCTATCAAGACACCACGCTCAGTCGAAGCAGCAGCTACCCCTACCCCATCCAACAAACAAACACAGACCAAACCACGCAGCCGGCCAGTCCCCAAGCCCAAGCCAAAGCCCAAGCCAAAGCCGAAACCAAAGACAAAGGCAAAGGCAAAGGCGAATCTCCACGACGGGCCAGTGCCAGCGCCAGTGCCAATGCCAGTGCCAGTGACAGTATCTATGCCACAGAGTTCGACCGCACGCCGCCCGAGGTTGTGTGGCAAGATTGGCCCCTCGACAATGACATACGCGGAGTGGGAGGCGGAGCTTGCACGATTCAGCTTTGTCGGCCAAGGGGGGAAAGTCGAGCCCTACCTGCTATAGTATGGTTTTCTGAAGGTATGTATCTACCATCTACCTATTTACCTAACTCCCTCTAGCTTGCTGTCCCTGACTGCCTGAGTGTCTCTACTACTGCAAACTACTAGTAACCCCACTGTTTCCTGACTTTCGTACCGTCACTATCACTCTCTCTCACTCTCACTCTCATCACTCAACGAAGCTAAGCTGACTCGACCAGGAGCTTCCACGTCCACATCCACATTCACATCCGTATCCACTTCCACTTCCACTTCCACTTCAACTTTCACATCCACATCCACATCCACATACCGAGACCGAGACCGAGAACACGACCACAACATCCAAGAACCATCCAATCGCACCTGGCACAAAGACCAGGACCACAAGGAGAAAAAGGCCATGTTGAAACGGGCCTGCGATCAGCGACAGAAGATGAAGACGAAGATGAACGAGATCTGCACCAGAGACCACGAGCGAGTATTGTTGACGCGGATGTGTAAGGGTCAGTTTCAATTCTTCAGTTTTCAGTTTTCAGTCTACTGCATTGCATTGCATTGCCTCGCTATGGCCATCATGGTGCCCTTATTCTGTTGCTGTCGTTGTTCTGTTGCTGTCCTTGTTCTGTTGCTGTCCTTGTTCTGTTGCTGTCCTTGTTCTGTTGCTGTTGCTGTTGCGTTACTCCCCGATAGCATCACCCAGCAGCCAGCAGGACTACCCCCCAACCTCTATAGCATCAGCATTACTCCCGATAGCATTGCCCACTATACAATCACTCCCGACGATACGATATATGGATATATGGATATATACGCTGACATACATGGCTCATTGAACAGATTTGACCTGCGCTGCCGTCCGCATCACCTTCCACCCTGTCCCCGGAGACGTCTTTCCCGGCTCGGTGGATGAAGTGTATGAGGCCTATGATGACATGGTCGCGAGTGGTCATGACAATGGTCTGAATGGGACCTATGTCCTCGGAGGACAAAAGAGGTCAGCTTACCTACTACCTACTACCCACCTACCTACCCCGTTGTCACAGGTATCCTTCATCAGCAGTGTCGCATGTATCTCTTTCTTTCACAAACACTGTTCACAAGTGTCCTTATCAGCTGTGCACACGTTTCTTCGCAGTTACCGTTGCCCTCGTCCTTGCCGTATTGACTCTACTCAAACAGTGGCGCCACGCTCGCCTTCGTCATCGCCGTGCGCCGAGCATCGAACCAGCAAGCACCACCGGCCGGGCTGATACTCATTTCGCCCGCCTACCTGGACAACTCGGTGTGGACCAAGAAATCGAATTCGAAGAAGCGGGCCAAGACCATACGGCGAGACGAGATGATGCTCGACCGCACAACACCAACACCACCACCACCACCACCAATACCAACTCCAACATGGACATGGACATAGACATCGACATCGACACCGACACCACCGCTAGTCAACATCGACTCGATGTCCCCGAAGCCGTACTACGCAACGTGAGTCTGCCACCAATCTCCCTCTCCGTGCTCCGACCGGACGCCTTCCTCGACGACGGCCAAGCACTATGCAATCAACTCAAACAGAGTCGCCACTTGGTCGTGTTCCGCATGTTTCCCGCCACCACCGCGGGGAACAATAAGTCCAAGTACTCCGAGTGCGGCGCCATGCCGGACAGACTGGAGGACCATCTGGTGATTATCACCAAGACATGGTTTTCCCTCGACACTTTACTGTTCTCCGGTCAAACGTCGTGGCTTGCCAGGGAGGGCAAGGACGGCGCGGATAAGAGCCCGAGTCTTCTGGATGGGATTATTGAACATTGGAGTGTGATGAAGCCGGGATGAGTGGCATCCGAAAGGAACAATAGGTCTTCTTGTGTGTGTGTGTGTGTGTGTCTCAACCTAGATGGGATGGTGAATCATGTTTGTCTTACTCTGTCTTGTGTCTTGGTCTTATAATAGGTCTTCTTCTTGTGTGTGTGTCAACCTGGATGGGATGGTGAATCATCTTTGTCTTACTATCTTATGTCTTATTGTGTCATGTGTCTTACTATCTTATGTCTTATTGTGTCATGTGTCTTACTGTCTTACTGTCTTATTGTATCTTACTGTGTCTAACTATCTCTCAGTCTTGGGTCTTGTGTCTTACTATGTCTTGGTCTTGGGTTGGTCGGATCGTGTATGTCCTCCTCCTACTGTCTCTGTCTCTTAGGTCGGTCGTGAGTTCGGGTTGGTTGAACCATGTCTCTAGTACTACTTAGTGTGTCTTGAATGGTTTCAATCATATTGCTGTTGTATATCCATCTCCTAATACTGTCTCATAGGTCGGTCGAATTATCTATCTCCTACTACTGTCTCTGTCTCTTAGGTCGGTCGTGAGTTCGCGTTAGTTGAATCATGTCTCTAGTACTACTTAGTGTATCTTGGATCATTATATTACTATCATATATTTATCTCCTACTACTGTCTCTTAGGTTAATTAAACCATCTATCTTCTACTATTACCTCTTAGGTTACTCAAATCATATTACTATTGTGTATCTATCTTAAATCATGTTACTATTGTGTCTCTATCTCCTAGCACTGCCTCTTAGTTAATTGAATCATACTACTGTCGTGTATCTATCTCCTACTTACTATGTCTTGACTGGCTTGAGTCATGTTACTGTCATATCTCTATCTCCTACTGCCGTCTCTTGGTTGATTGAATTATATTACTGTCATATCTCTATCCTACGACTGTCTCTTGGATCGGTCAGACTATTTATCTCCTACTACTGTCTTTTGATTAATTGAATCATGTTGCTGTCATGCATCTATCTCCTAGTACTGTCCCTTGGATCGGTCGAACTACATATCTCCTACGACTATATCTTAAGTCGATGGAATCATAGTTCCTTCAAATCTATTTCCTATCTACCTTGTCTCGAATTAGTCAAACCATCGATATCATATCCTATTATTTATTACCATCGATATCATATCCTACTATTTATTTCCAGCAGACCCAGGTCTACGCTCCTCCTCTGTTGGCCATCCCCTGCTGCCGCAGACAACGCGCCCGCTGAATATGATCATCCAATTTGACTCGTCGACAACATGCCCTGAATCTCGCCCTGCCATCCAGTATACGAAGATCGCCATTTCTTCTCTTTCTTAAATTATTTGATTATATCTATTGTATCTCCTAGTATGCTACATCTAGTCGGTTGGACCGGTATCTGTCTAGTCATATTCCTAAGTACTCTATCTCCACTGTTTAGGAAACAGGCGGAAGGCTGAGACGGGCGCCGGACAAAACAAGGAAGCTGACATCGGTATCTCGACTGAGCACTAGAAACAGGCATTTCGACATGAGAATGTCGATTGAGCACTGTGACAGGCATTTCGACATGAGAATGTCGATTGAGCACTGTGACAGGCATTTCGA